TTTCAAAAAATTTGTGTGTCGTGACGTCATAAAATTTTGAATAACTCCCACATTTTTGAACCGATTCTTCTAAAATTTGGTATGTAGGTGCACATAGACCACTTCTCTGACATATATTCCGGTTTTTTCGATAGACTCAAAATTTTGGATTTTATAATGATTTTCCCAAAAAAGTCAGTTTTTTGAAAAAAAATTTAGGCCAAAATCCAAAATTTTCAAAAAACCGAGATAGCCATTTGATAGACAAAGTAAAATTACGTATAACCATTTTTGTTACGTCTTGATTCCTTTAAAAATGAAGATGTTAGCGGCGTTTGAACTTTTGCCGTTTTTGAGGCGAAAATGGCGAACATGACGTCACTAAAACGTCAATTTCTCAAAAATTTCCGACGGATTTCGCTCAAATTTTCAGGGAACGTGTCAAATTGATGTAAGAAAGGGTACTGAAAGTTCGGCGGCGCTGCGCGCCGCCGTTTTTGAGATATCGCAAAAATTCGCGAGGGGGGTAAAATTTACCCCCCCCCCCCAGCCCCGCGCGGGTTAAAGATGACCGCGCAGGCTGCGCAACAGACATCAGGAATGATGACCACTGATGAAAAAAATAAACGACTAAGAACGAGCCACTACGGCGCGAGTTTAATTTTGCTACACTAATGACTCATGTAATGCGTCACATTATTATTTTCAGCCACTCAAGAGTCCATCTCTCTGGTGTTGGCGTGTTTATTTCCAGCCGAGGCGCAGATTGATGGATCGGTCAAGGGTGACGTGATAGACCTGCGTGTGAACATTCGAGGAACACGACGCCGATTAATTACACTGTACGAGAATAACCAGAGGGGGACTGATGAAAATAAGCTGTCGTTTTTCTGAGGCCTTCTGTCCGAGCGTTAATTATTCATGTGTTCCAATTTTGAATAAAGGAGCAAAATATTAAGCAAAGCAATAAGCATGTCTCCTAGGCCCATTGGTATGCCATTGATGCCATAACAATTACCTTGAATATATGATGAAATGATAAATAATAATTGATGCTAAACTGTGCCTCAATGAGCAGCTGTCAACTTCATGACAGAAATAACATCGCCATGCAGTAACTAAATTAAATCTGATAAGGAAAAAATAATGCAATTATAAATACGCAGTTATTTATCACGTGACTGTGACATCGATCATAATAAGGGTTACGCCAGGGGAATATTAAATCAAACGCAACAAGCGCTACAAGTCACTTGTGATGTTTTGTGCTCGATAAACAACTATAACATTGAACATATAATTATTTAATGTGCATATATGCAACCGATAACTCAGGATCAAATAATCACCATGTGCCGTATTACAGGGCCTCCTCTAAGGATTTTTCACTGGGTGGGCAATTTTTTTTCGCCGCTCCCCTGCCTGAGGGCGGATCCAGCCACTTGTTTTGGGGTTCAACCAATTTCAAAACCTGTGTCGGGGGGGGGGGGGTGAGGCAAAATAAGCTGTGCCATTATTGGAAACAAGATGATAGTTTGCAAAGATAACGTTTGTCGTGTGTTTTATTTTTATCCCTCGCCGGCACAGGCCATTTTGCGTCCTTCGACGGCGCAAGGGGGGGGGGGGGGGCGAACCCCTCGTGTTTGGCCCCTTATTGAGCTAGAGCCCCACGGAAAAACATCGTGTAGGTCATCACGAGACGAAGCCAACGGTACCCAGTTTTAAGGTCATAGTTCAAATGGTGACCTCTGAGGTGAGGTCAGGTCGTCAATGAACCAAAAGTCGAGAAAATCGGGGCCTGTTAGAACGTCGTAGTATGGCTGCTATGGTTTTTTCGGGGTGCTGATCACGAATATCATGTTATTTGTGATCACAGATGATATCTTCATGCATTTAGGCCAGGTCGGGTCAGGTCAGGTCAGGTCAACCAGAAGGGGTCCTGCCGGGTATTCGTAGTACGTGTCAAAAGCCTCTGACAGCTTCGTAACATATTACGAAGGCACCAAAACTACTTCATAAATGTTCAAATGGTTGCCTAATTCGAATTCAGCTCTAAAAACTAGCCTAGAAACATATAAAACTCGAAAAAGTGAACCGAGGTTATCAAAGGTCAATAACCTGACCTGACCTTCAGGTGACCTTGCCATCCAACCTAATGCATGAGACCAACATCATATCACATGTTTGAAAGCCTGAAACCACGAAAAGACTGCAAACACGCGGTAATGCGAGCCGACATACGCCGAATCGCGATTCCGGCCAAAAATTGTCTTGAAAAGCAGGTCACAGGTCAAAGGTTATTTGGGTCAGGATCATGAAATTTTCAGTGTAGGTGTAAAATTGATTAACTCGAAGGTACTGCAAGTTTCGTCGCGATCGGCCGCTATTTACGCGATTTATTTGCGAAAAAAAAAAACATAGGGGGTTGCATCACCCCGCCCCCTGTGACGGCTAGGGTTATAGTTAGCGATGCTCGTGACGTCTATTAGTTCCATATTACATGTACATTGTATGTACAATGTACATGCCTATTCACTCACGAGACAATTCGTTTTTTTTTTTTTTACAAATACCGATTAACCCGCGCGGGGCTGGGGGGGGGGTAAATTTTACCCCCCCTCGCGAATTTTTGCAATATCTCAAAAACGGCGGCGCGCAGCGCCGCCAAACTTTCAGTACCTTTTCTTACATCAATTTGACACGTTCCCTGAAAATTTGAGCGAAATCCGTCGGAAAATTTTTGAGAAATTGACGTTTTAGTGACGTCATGTTCGCCATTTTCGCCTCAAAAACGGCAAAAGTTCAAACGCCGCTAACATCTTCATTTTTAAAGGAATCAAAACGTAACAAAAAAGGATATACGTGATTCTACTTTGTCTATTAAATGGCTATCTCGGTTTTTTGAAAATTTTGGATTTTGACCCAATTTTTTTCAAAAAACTGACTTTTGGGAAAATAACTATAAAATCCAAAATTTTGAGTGTATCGAAAAAACCGGAATATATGTCAGAGAAGTGGTCTATGTGCACCTACATACCAAGTTTTAGAAGAATCGGTTCAAAAATGTGGGAGTTATTCAAAATTGTATGACGTCACGACACACGAAAATTTTGAAAAATCACTTTTTTTGGAAGTTCTAGACCTCGTACGGAAACAAAAATAGCACCATTCGATTCGCCGTGAAAAACTGCATCAGATAGACACCTTTTTATACCTTAACAACCAACTTCAAAATTTGACCTCACTTGACCTGACCTTGACCTGACCTCGACCTGAAATTCATCCAGAGGTGGTCCATATCACTTATTGTGTGTGCCTATTGAATTCTGTGAGTAAAATGACCCATAAAACATGTGTCGCACATGCCCTTTTCTATATTTTGTTTTTGGTGACCTGACCTGACCTGACCTGACCTTGACCTTGACCTCTGAATGATATTGTATGCAACGAATATTGTCTTGGTAGCCTAAGAACACGTTTTGGGCGTGTTCTTATCACTTATCAGTCTCAGTCCATGACTCCATTTTTCGGCAACTACGGTGCAAGGCCGATACTGTAGGAACTTGCAATTTGTACCCTTGACCTGACCTTGACCTTGACCTCAAACTTAAAATTAAGTACATGTTTTTAGTTGGTCGCGATGAGATCTTTCGATTGGCGTTTGAATTTTCCAAATCGGACCATTAGTTCGGGAGATAACAGGGGGGGTAAAATTTACCCCCCCCAGCCCCGCGCGTTCGGCTGGAGACCCCAGCCCCGCGCGGGTTAAAACCCAATACCGTGAGAGGGATGCTACCTAGGCTTATAGATGCAACAGAGAGTTAGAGCTCCTAATTTACAGCCTCACCGGTTGGACCTTTATTTTTACATTTGCTTCTGGGTGGGCAAATCGACGCCACTGGGTAGGCAATTGTGGTGACTGGGTGGGCATTTGCCCACCCAGTGGGTATGTTAGAGGAGGCCCTGCCGTATTCTAAGCAAACAGGAAAAGCTCGAGACAAAACGCATGGCTTTGTATGAACACATGTTAGGTCAAACAAGGTGTGGACAATGGTTGCAAGCGCATGTGTCATTTTTGTAAACTTCCAAACCTCATATAAAAGGCATGCCTGTAGTCGATCCAAATTTAGGGAAAACGTAGAATCTGATCAAAATAGGCCACAAAAAGTATGTGTATAGAAAAAGCAAACGGTGTTTGTCGTCTTACAAAATTACAACATTTAAGGGTGGGCTGCATCAAACATTAAAATGTGACTTTGTATATTTTCTAACATATATTGTGGCTTGTGTGAGTAAAAAATGAGAGCTTATATAACCGAACTTGAAACTCGATGATTCAAAATGAAAGTCCGATTTTATGGACTTTCTCGGGATACATTTTCATTGCGACAGGAAATATACGGCGCCGCGTCGTCTCATAAATAAGACACGGCAACAAAATTGTGGGATTTTACGCCTCCCTTCCTTTTCTGCAAGTCGGCGGTCAATCATAGCTGCTTATACGAATAGGTTACCCGCAAGTACACCTCATTTGATCTCGGTCAAAGGATAACTAGCCATAGGAAAAGTTACAAAAGAGAGGTGTATGCCTCGGACTTTGTCTATGGTCAGCCGTTAGTGACTTGGTGACATCCTCCTACCTACCTACCTATATATTTTATATCCGAATCAACTCCCTTATATTGTCACTGTTGGAACACAAAAACTCTTTCTAATGCAACATTCACAACACAAGGCAAACATCAAAACATACATATTTGCAGAATCAGCACATCATTTCATGTGAATTTCATATTATCGAAAAATACACGTCAACGTTACTCTGGAACTGAACAGATCATTCAATAAAGTCACCACCCAGGTTGCTTGAGGAAGTAAGGATTAAAAGCATATTCATCAGCCCTGATATAGTCAAATAAGCTACGTTAACCATCTTATACACGACAATACAGAGTGAAAATAATTACATAGTTAGATGATGCAGCCCTATCTCTTTCCCGGCTTTCGCCCGGTCTGCTTACCTGATCCAGCTCCCCACTCTTCAATGTTCAGATTAGAACACAACTGGCTCCTCCTGTGTTCCCGTGCTCCCGAGGAGGCGCACGATTCAGTCTCGTTTCTGCTCTCCAGTGACGTCTACGTCTGATGGGACGGGCTCTGTCACCTCCAGTCTCCTCTGCTGACCGACGAAACGTCCCTTGCTAGTCAAGGGCAGGCCAGCCGCCACTTAGGTCGACGCCGATATGAGTCTGCGCAGGATTTCCCACATTCACTCCAACACAGCCTTTCAAATCAGTTGAGCTCTGACCGTCTAAGATCCTTTGCGTGCAGTTCTATTCACGTCACTTCGCGGTCGGGTCGGGTCGTCTGAGGTCAGGTCACCTCAGGTCAACGTCGTGGCGCGGGACGTGCAGCGCGCGCCAGTGAGCTGCCCTCGATCGCTGCGGCGGCACTGCACCCACTGCCTGAGGCACTGTCTGTTTGGACATTCCCGCGACCACAAGGCCAGCAGTGCCTGGCTCCGCTAATATTAGCAGGGTACCGTGCGCGCGCGCAGAGTTGAGAGCCCCGGGGAGGGCGAGTTGAGGACCACCGCCGACGCGTCGACCGCGACGGAGGGTGACCGGCGGGTTGTTCCATGTCGTCGGTGCGGTAAAGGTGACATCATCGGTACACTGGAGCCGACGAAACAAAATGGCGACGATCGTGCTGCTGGACCGCGGAGAACGGTGCGTTAGGTTTAGCAAACAGAACTCACTCGTCGCAAATATGTCTGTGCCTCTCAACACCTCTACCTGCTCACGAAATAGAGAGCTTATTAGTTCACCACCTTTATTTGACAAGTGAGTGGGGGTTCAGCCTCAACACTAAGACTTCTGGAAAAGCCGACAATCAGCTCGAGATTCCAGGCATCTCACTGCCTCGGTTTGGACTCCCGGAATGATCTTTTTCCTACGTCGGATGAAATTCAAACACAGGGCATTCTCTTCACAGTCGATTAACAGCAAACAGGGTCAATTTCACAGAATTTACGGCAATGGGACTGCAGTCTATGCGCCTGACATTAGTATGTGCCATCGCACAAACAATAACCTGGCCGGTGCGTTCCTCTGGCGCACAGCATACTTATTTGACGCGTGCCTAACGGCGTAGATCGCTCCAGACAATCCTTATGTCGCCTGACTGTGTGATGATCATTTATCATATTCCCCATGCATTCAAACTTACCGTACGTACATAGCCTTCTCTCGAGAGGGTTATTACATGGACGGAATGCGTGTGGGAGCCTGCAATCGACCGGGACGTGTTATATAACACAAAGTAATCAACATCATGCTTCGAATTCATAAACAACGTAAGGCGTAAGCAGAAGCTGTTACTCAATTACAAAACCCGACAACAATATTTACAAATTATATTTACTTATAGAAAAGCATTGATCTAAGCAGTAGCGGCGGAACACCTTCAATTAAGGGGGGGGGGGGACACTGCCGACTTTTGGTCCCATTCTTTTCATGCAACGCCCATAAGGCTAATGTTAAAATAGCAAAATCAAGGGGGAGGGGGCACGGTGCCCGGTGTCCCCCCGTTCCGCCGCCTATGGATCTAAGCGCAACCTTATCAACAACAGAAAGGCTAGCAAGAGCGGAATCCCATTTTTTAAAAAGATATATCGACACATATTTCACTTGTAATGTTTCATTCACCCAGTGACGCAGTTTCTTGGGTTGCAAGATATTCAACAAAGCTGAGCCGACAAATTCATCACCTCAAAACAAAAGTTCTCTTCTTTTGTTTTTGTCAAATAGTAGTTTTCTGCATGGTCTGCTTCCAGCAAAATATTGCAAGCTTCACGTAATATTTGCAGCCAAACGGCCATGTCTCGTTCAACACGGCTTCTCCTGGGCTGAGATTAGCGTCCAGTTTCATCACCCGGAGCCGCCACATGAAGAACGGTCGACTAACGATCATCTGCGCTCGTTCAAAACTCGGTCACAGAGCGATGAGCGCTGCTGGACTCCTCGAAACGACTACAGTCCGGGAACAAGACGAATTTATAGAAGTCTAACGAACGCCGCGGATGCAGTCAGCCTGCACTCCAAAAACGGCGTTCATTTGTCTTAGCTGGTGCTGACCAAGAGAGCGAGTTGGTCGATGGAGTAAGTCTTATCCGTTCTTCTGAATGGACGGGAACGGTGGGTCATGTTCCCGGATGTCGCCTAACCAGAGAACTGAATGGGGAGGAAATCGGCCGTGCTCTGAAATGGCGACGTATTTTACGGCTCGGCTGGAGAAGATCCGTGAGCTAATGGAGGGCCGAAGATAATAGTGGAAACTAGGGAGAACCAGTATAAACGAGCTTAGAAACTGCAGCAGATATAGTGGGGCTTCGCCAAACATATCATGTAAATCCAGCAGCATGCAGTGTGAAGGTGAACCAGGACTCGATATTTTTCTAAGTCGATTGCATTGCATTGGTGAGAAGCTTTGTGTAGTATGATGGATCTAAATCGTCATTAGCATGTCACTGAAAACGCGTATTACACTAATTAACTGAGCATCTGATACGTCATCCCGTTCCCGCCTTTCTCATCCAGCCGGCCCGGACAGATCGTCGGTTCCGTCTCACTGTCCAGCGGACGTGGCTTTGGGACGTGGACTGGGCGTCGGGCGGCCCGACAGGTAAGAGGCGGAGTGGACAGGCGACCGAGCAGGGCCATCAAATACTCACCGTTTGCAACAGTCACGCCGGGCCGTCCTTCCCGACAGTCGTGAGAGAGTCACGGCAGACATCACGGTACGTTACCGTGATGGGCCGAATGTCACAACACGACACACGTGCCCCCAGGGGTCTGCTTCTGTCGGGAGTGAGATCGTCCCGAAAGGACTGAGGTGGACAAATATGGGACGAGTTTTCTTTGGCCTGACTTGTGAGGTCATTGATTGATCTGATTCTGCATAGCTAGTTTGTGAACCAGTCAAACTCCACCTATTTTTTTTTTTGACACAGCCCAGGCTGCAGTTCAAACATATCTCACTGCACTAGATGTAAAACAGCCGGGAAAAGCTCGTATCCCATGACCGTCTGAGCTAGGATATGTAAATCGGTAAAACATGCTCTTTGCTTGCTTTGAGTGAGCTTCGCAATGATCCCGTTGAAATTATTATATGCATCGCTCAAAAATGATGTGCATACATATATTCTTCAACAGCTTGGTATACCTATGTCCTTTCGCACATAGCGATAATAAATATGCCCATTGCCAATGCTATTTTCGGAATGAGACACGTTCTTATACTATCTCGTAGACGAGCCCGGACGCCACGAGGATCCTCGAGGGCTGGCACAATCTATTGTCATAACATCCGCATGCACAGCAGACGATCCGTTCAGCCACTGAGAGGAGAAATGAGACTGCAGATTATGCCGCCAGTGGGTCCGCATCGAGCGCGTCATATAGTTGGTGAGTGACGGAATGAATGTCATTCGGCCAATGTTAATTTTACCGAATACTTTTTTCCTTCGTATAATATTTAGGCAGAGCACTGAACGGAAATATATGAACGGAACGGAAATACGCCGAAATGTATGCCCTGTCTTTATGGATAGAACCTACGAGTAGATAGTTTGGAAACGGAGCAGAATTCAGCAAAATAGCAAAGCGATTAATAAGATTTGAACATCGACAACTATGCCTCCAGCGAGCTTGTGAAGCGATGTGTCGATCTAATTGAAGGTAAATAGTGACCAGATGCTGAAACATAAACGTGCTATCAAAACACGGGGCAAATAAAGAAGTCGGTGAGTCATCCACAGGCTTTCCGTTTCCGATATCACGATCAAAACAAACAATTACAAACGAGAATATCCGTAACTGGACACCGCGCGCGCTTAGCGAACGTTGGGACTTGGGACCTCGGGCTCTGCGGGCGACCTTCGAATCTCTCCCATAGATGGCAGCAGTAGCACAAGCGCCTGCATCTATGCTGTGCCGCAATACTCGGCAGCGCCACTACACTGGAGCTCGTTCTCGACAACATAAAAACAAATTAGCCGCGATTGGTCGTCTAAAGTAGGCTCTTTTAACTCGATTATGAGACCTATCGCACAAGCCTGATCCCATCGTAAACTCGACAATTACGATAAGCCCCCGAATCGGAACCATCTGGGCCTTTCATCCGCTGAGCTCCTGGGTGGAACGTGTGGGCTCAGTTGGAGCCCAAAACGGACCGGAAATAGCTCCATCCGCAGTGCGATCACGCACAGCCGATGGTGACGTCACCAAATTAAAAATGAAGGGTCTCCTCTTGTTTATGACCAGCTAGGCTCACGGCTTGCTGAAATAATCGAAACCCATAGCCGATAATTCTAAGAGTTTCGTGAAACTACATAAAAGTGGACACTTGCGCAACGTTACATCAGTGAAGCTTCAGCGGTCTGGAAGTCAGCCACATGCTCCACTAATAGCTACCACGACGGCGCCCAAACTAGACATGGATAACCGCAGCCATGTGCACGTGCCGGTCACTGCAATCCTCTCAAAGTGTACCACAAGCTGGCGCATTAATTTTGGACACATTCCATTACGCCCTCTGCATAAGTGTCGGGCGCAGAGCCACTGGCCGATTTACGGGGGCTGTCGGGCCGATCTGCGCGGTGCCACGCCGCCGAAATAGGCGACAGATCCAGCGCGTCCTTTATTCATCGCCCCAATCTGAGCCGAAGCGACGTGACGTCACCAGATGTGGTCAGCTGACGCGGCGACGAACACGTGCGCAGTTCACCGGCCAGCCATCGAAGGAATGTGCGCAGCTGAGACCGGTGAGCTCTTAGCTCGTCTTTTCTCGAGCGGCCGGGTCGTCGATCGGGTGGGCTTTAGGACAAATCGCGGCACTTTCTCTCTGAGAGCACGGGTGTCGGACGGAGCGGGACGGGTTGGGCGCGGGACGGACATCGGTATGCAAACGATCGACGGGTGTGTTACGACGAGATAACGACGGTCGATATAAACTGTGCCGGCTGCCAGCACCGGAATCGGTGACGCCAGGAGTGGTTCTGAAATATGGCACCGGTGACGGTATCAGCGGGTTTATCTCACATTTTCATTAAATTAAATAAAATCACCGGTGACGAATTCAGCTGCTGCAGCCAGGAAAGCAGTGCACTGGGGTCACCGACACATTTCCCGGCAGAAAATTTAGGTCATTGGGAATCGCATAAAAATCATAAGTAGACACAACAATCAACATACATACTTAGTGCTTACTCCGAAGGCAAAGGAGCATACAAGTCGCAACAAAAAATTTAAAAGGACCACCATAACTAAAACTCACTGCTCACTGACCTCATTCTCTCTCGCCCCAAGCATACGTTCGCCTTCACGGCCCTCCACGTAGCCCCGGTAACTCGACTCTCTTGACCCTCCAAACCAGGAAGCCTCTAGACTCCGATTTACATCTAACCACAAAGCGTGTTCAAATGAATACCAAGCAGAAAACTGAAGTAAGTGGACTCCGCACGAAGACTTCAAACTCGGCTAATGCTATGAAAAGAGCGGGCGAACATTTTGATATTAGCGAAGATCGCCAAACATGATCGCAGCTACGTCGTAATGGAAAAGTCAGTGAAATAAGCGTCTTGGTTCGAGTCTGGTGGTGAAATTTCCGTGCGTAAAGTAAGAAAAGAAACCAACATCGCAGAAGAAAAAGCGATGCCCATCAGCGAAGCCGTCTGATGTTTGCGGTTGCCTCGACTCGGCGCAATCAGCTATGCAGAACGCTAAGGATGACAAACGAAACAGCGCTACTGAATTCGAGACAGAGCAGGAAAAGAGGAAAATCTCAGCACTTGGCATGCATTGTGGCCACCGCCCAAAGCCTGCGAGGACATCGCAACTAGAGTTACGGTAGAAACTATAGTACAGGGTCACGTAATAGTAGAATTCGGCCCGAATACGGTCAGCGGTTTCCTTAAAATACATTGGCAGGTCAATGAAGAAATATTACGCTTCAGCCTTCACTGACTGTCACAGTCAACGTAAAAAATCAATTAGACTTGCATTCTCAAGCCACGGTGAAACTGAAACGAAACAAATAATACAACTAGATCTCACAACCTCACCGGGACCGCATGTAGGCTTCCAACTTCTTTCTTCAATTTTAACATTCCCGTCACAATCTACTTACCTCGCCACCGTACTACGAAATCCATACGAGACTGGATGCTTTAGATAGAAAGTAAATTCGGAACTGAAAAGAATCAGCTACTGCTGTCTCATTGATTTCCATACCGGCTAAGGCATCGGTAGGTTTTCATTCATGTATACGCCCACGTGCTATATGTGAATGTGTTTGTGTGAGCCACCCTTCTCCGTATTTGGTTCTGTTCAGTATTTTCTGCATCGATCAGTTCCCATTAAATCGTAACTTGTATGATAACTGTATCAGTATAGAAATACAGCCACTCAGCAGAACAATCGTCCAGGGCTGCCCCCGGCCCTGAGCCAGCCGCGACCACCTGCTGATTTACACCCTCCTCAGGCTGGCGCCGGACGGGGCGCGGGCCGGGGCGGGGGCGGGGGCGGGGGCGGGGGCGGCTGGCCGACTGCCCAACGACGACACACGGGCGCCACCGGCGTCATACCGCGGTATTTTATTATCTCAGAGCGAAAACATCCAGGCTGTAGCTAACCAATGACGCCCGATCGGCGCCGCACTCTGTCGCCTTTCACCTCGATAGATCGGCACCACAGGGAGAGGCCAACAGAGTGGTGTGGCAGCGAGCTGCGGCCAGCGCACCGTCCGCCACCCAGTGAGGTGGAACGTGCGGCTCACACACAGAGCGGGTGAGGTCCGAGTCACCAGTCCGCACCACACGGCACCTCCACAGTAGTGTCTGTACGCAGACCAGACTGAGTATCCGGCCTCAGCCCTCACGTCTCTCTGTCACTAGATGTTGATGACCCGCGACAGTTTCTGTATGCGGTTGAGCAGGATGTCTCCCTGTTTGATGGTGTTCTGGTATTGGTAGTTTTTCGAGTCGGGCCGGTTGGTCTCCACCACGCCGCCCACCTTGTCCACCTTGGCGTGCAGTCTGCCCAGGTTGATGAAGCGGGCCAGCTCCCTGGAACAATGCCCGGGGGGCCGACTGTTAGTAACCGAGCCCGGCGCCGCGCACACCACCGCCTTTGTGTCTGACGCGGCGACGCGGCGGCGCTCGTTTAGAGACCGATACATTGAGCCAGGTGGCCGGGGTGCTGCGGCGCGCGGCTGACGTAACCGGACAGGCAGGGGTCTGTTTACGGGATTGACTGACGACACTTCACACCGCCAGTCAGAGGGGGTCGCCCAGACGCGCCTCACAGAGTGGGGACCAATCGGAAACCCCATCATCGGCAACAGAGGCATCCGTACCGTCAATCAGCGAGAGTGGTTTGATGACATACTCCTGGGCGTTTGAAGAGCCACGCAATGCTCGGGTGAATGACTTAGAAGTGTCAAGATTTAGAAAGTGTGGCGTAAGACGCGAATAGGTAAACGCAGAGTTAAACGTAAGATGTGCAGTGAGAGTTGGAGCATGGAAATGGAAGACGAGGAGCCTAAATGTGAAGGAAAAAGAAAGTGGGGTCACTAAACGAGAAAGATGAAAAGGCGACAAAAAGAAGTTACCAGACAAAGCGTCATCACACTTGTCTCATGGACCAATCATCACGGTCTTAGACTGAAAGCCGCGGTATTTATATATGGGATGGGATTTTTTTTTTGTAGCTTATCAGTGACAAACTTGTTCGAGTTGAATGGAAAATGGCATTTTAAATCCATAACTCTCTTCCGTTTTTAATCAAGAAAAAAAGCGTTCACAAGATCTCAGTCAGTGTGCCTGAAAAAACCGATAGCCTTTTTCAGTCATTAAAATAAATGAAGCTTGTATGCATCCGAAACACACGGAAACATCCATTTCAAAAGCACGTCTGTCACCATTTGTACTTGTGGAAAAGCCATTCCTAACTTCGCTGGCGGCTAAAGCCTACCTCACGACCTGCCTGTGAGCGGCTCACAGTGCTGGGAATTTCTGTCCCGCGGGGGCCGTTCCACCCAGCGCTGATCATATCACCGATTCGGTAGAGCCGAGACGGTGCCGCGCCGCCTCACTAACTCGATCGCAAACGCTTTCCGCGGCAGCCGATATGATTTGGCCAGATTATTGAGATAAAAGTATATCCTTTCGCGGTCATGGTCAGGAATCGAGACGACTCGTTTTGAATTGTTCTGAGCAGAGAGGCACGATAACTTCTCATGATGCTACAGCCTACACTGTTTTCAAGCATTTTGAAAGTATGTACCGTAGAAACAATTGAAAACAATATTTCCTAGCAAAACACTTGGCATTGAAGAGGCAACGACCAAAGAGAAACAGTAAACTAGGCCGTCTTGACATGCTTCATGCATGTTAAATAGCAAGCCTGCCCTGATACTGCCATTTCCCATCTACCACAACAGTCTCGTCAAAAATTTAACAATCCCGACCCAGCGCAGGGCGGCCATCCGCCTCACAGCCCTGCTGTTACGAACTTCCCCGCGGCTCGCTCTCCGGACGTAACAAAGCCAATCGAATCAAAGTGCACGGGTCACTCACTGAGCACATTGGCCGAGCAGTCGAGAATCGCGGCCAGCTTTAACGCCGTGTAAAATGTTACAGGCTTCTCTGAACGATACAGAACAAAGCTAGCTCCGGAACGGATATTTCGTCGTGAGGAAAGCAGGAAGAAGGGCTGGAAACAGCAAACGCCCCAAGTACTTGAGATTCGCTGCTGCATCGATAGTATTGTTTTGGTCAGAGGCATTCCGACTCAGTCATCTCTTCTGATCAGACTTGGGACTTAAGTGACCCACCCTGGCCGCCCGAGAAGGCAACAGCCTCGGGACGGTAGTTTCACAGAGCACTGAACGCAGGCCGGTCCATCCCACCCAGTGCGTGGAGACGGTCCCCGAACAGGGTGTAATGGGCTGTCCCTGAGCAGCACGCCACTGCGGACACCGCACTTTACCGATGAGTGGCCGATAAAACGAGCCGCCAAAGATCGCATCTCCAGGGACAGTGTGCGCTGAGTACGACCAGTGACCACAATCGCAACAGTTTTAGGGGACGCGTCTGTTTCTATTTGGAAAACTGAATATTATTCCCACCCGACACTGGACCCTGTCCCCCTAACACAAACCAACTACTTTCACTCACTTGTCGATAAACTCCACCGAGACTCCGAAGGCGTTGGCCATGTACTGCAGGGTCAGACTGTTGTAGGACTCTAGCAGCTGCGAGTAGGCCATGATGCGCATCTCACGCACGTAGTACAGCACGTGGGGGGCGAAGTAGCGGTCCTCCTTCAGCACCTGCTCCACAGACGCTGCAGCGACAGGCACAACACAAAGGTCAGGCCAAAGGTAAATTAATTAGCGCCGTAGGTACTGAAGGAGATGAAAACGAATACCGTAAAGTGGGGCTATTTGAGACAGTATTTAAAATCGCCATAAAATGAAGATCGTTTAATTTTTATGTGATATTTTTGCTCAGGAAGGTGTGGAATCGAGCAGTATATCGCCTCAGCAAAAATTAAGCATAAATTTCAAACGGTTTTTATTTTATAACAATTTTAAATACTGTCTCAAATAGCCCCACTGTCTCAAATAGCCCCACCTTACGGTACCTGCAGCCGTCACAACATTTTGCACAATCAATGAGACAAAACACATAAAAGCAAACACACAGTCGAATACAAAGGCACTCTGACAGCGCAAAGCCGAGAAAGTTCGAAACACAACACACAGTAATCAATCTCATAACGCCACACAAGCACACACACAATGTTTATTGAATCAAATACAACGAAAATGGAGACAAACAACTACTAGCGAAGCGTATATCACAACAACGACTGACACCTATCGCCACTTTGTCTGCACACCATCTTCCACAAATATCCCCCTCTTCCTCCGGAAACTGACGTCGAAATCTCATCCCGGAGCTCGTGCTGCACGGAGCCCACCGCTCCCAGGGGACGCGGCGGTAAAGTCGATACTCTGATACTGGGCCGGCGGCGTCGACTCGTTACCACCGTCCGCTGACGCACGGAGAGCGGCCCCAGGCAAAAATAGCCGAGCGTTTCCCGTGTTCGACCACGGCGGTAGTGATGACAATGAGCATCAGGTGGACACAACGGTGGGGCTGGAGACTGGTTAGATGGCGGAGTGATTCGGCGGGCTGGGGAATAGTCTGTGATTCAGCTTTTCATTAGCATGACACAGTCGTTTTGATAAATGTCAATCGGTCGTTTCGTTATGGGCATAAAATGAAAACTGTATGTGCAACTCCCAAAAGCCCTAATATGCAATCAAAAATCTTTGTGAGAGTAATAACTGTAAATAAATACACGTCAAAATAGCACGAGTCGGGAGAAATCAGGGTGCTCGATGAAGGAGAAGGCGTCAAACCCGTGTCAGCACCTCATCCAACTAGATGTTTGCGCGGATTTAATTGCAGCTCAGAAGTTCCACAGAGTCCGTGGTAGCTACGTAAAAAGTCGGGTGAGATGACACTGCAATAATTTCACGTCAAACTTAACATCACAAACGCGAAAAGTCATCCAACCGTATTCTAAAATTAGACATCAAAATATATTTTTGGAAGACGAATTCGTCACAGTTGATGCTGGGAACTCAGGGCGTGTTTGAACACATGTGCGAAGCGGCGCTTTGGTACAAAAAGAAAGAAAACCATTGGAAGAATAACATCCCGGGGGTTTCAGGCTGGCCGTTCGCAGGTTCTCTTCGCCACAATCAACATAGCGGACAAACATGATAAAAGGGGAGTTAAATCTATGACAGCCACAGGGGAGAGGTAGCCTTTCAGATGATGAAAAGAGACCGAAATCTCAACAATCGTAGTCGGTGCAACAACACTAAATTAGTTTACCATCTTAAATGGCGAGAAAGTCAGCTTAGAAGAGCAAGCAGGGGTGAGCTGAGCTAGAAGTTCGTCTTGTTGAATAAAATATATGCCCACTTTGTTTAATCGATGCTACACACTGCATATTTAGGCGCGCGTGTCTAGTCTAGTAAAATGGACTACTTGGGTAATTAGGAGCCACGATAAGCACAAAAGCCTACAAAAAGGCCGAAGGCTAATGACCCACCTACCATCGCCAGACCCCACCAACTGTAGTTTCCTCCCACCATCCGCCTTGTCCTCCTCCCACCAACTGTTGTCCCCGCCCACCGCCCGGCGCCACAAGTCCACCGCGCCCCGCGGAGGCAGAGACCTTGTCGAGCCGTTCTCGGCCGGGCCTGTCTGTTTCTCCAGTCGTGAGAGCAGCCAGCCGGCGTCCTATTTACACTCGGAAACGGCTCGATAATTGGCTGCCAAACTGGCCAGGCCGGCGGGCGGCGCGTAAACACCCGGTGAATTTACAGTGGCACCGCCCGCCGGGCCGAGACTGGCCGAGAGGGCACAGGTGGGCCCAGTCGGTCCCCTGGCGGAGCGCAGACAAAAAACATTCAGCACTCAGACAGGGGACAGATGAGAAACGCCCGTGACGAAAACGGGACCATCAGCACTCGACATCTGTATGCTGGGGGTTTGGGGGCAAGTCAACAAGGTTACCATAAATCCATATGCCATCGATGATATGCCCCAAAGATTTAAGGTTACATGTTTCTAACTATCTACAAAGTATAAACGCGAAATGTCCCTCAGCTCCACCATTTCAGGTCGCACCTCATTTCTCGAATACCTGAACAGTGAGCATATTATAAAAAGCGTAAACAAGAGCATTTTCAGCGCACTTTTTTTGCTATACAAAGCACGCCCACTTTTCATGCCCTTCAGCTCAGTCGCCATAGTCACGCACAATTTGACTCCTCTTTTGCACCTCCCACCTAACCTGCAATTCCATCCATCTACTCTGTTCTCTATTCTGCTCTGCTCTCAGTTGTGCTGTGCTCTGTCCTGTTCTCCACTCCGCCCCTCTCCTCTGTGACGACGTTACGACAGATTTCCATTCACCCACCGACGCGTCCCGATTCCCTGTGGACTCGCAGGAGTCCAGCCTCCCACTCGACGCACAATCTCATCCCGCGGGGAGGTGGCAAGTGCGACAGGACCGTCCGAGGCAGCGCCGCCGGGCTCGAACCGACCTTCACACCGACACCGGTGAGCCAGAGCCAAACTCAGGCTGACAGCGGCAGCGACTCGATCCCGACACGCTCGTAAAACTCTCGGCCGAGCGGTATCGGTGACAGAGGCGGCGCACGGCGGAGAGAGAGATCTCCGTCGCCGGTCAGCGGGGATAGGTGTGGTGCTGAGACAGCACCCGTCAGTGGCCGAGGTGGCCGCGCGGACTGGCCGGGAGCCAGACGCAGGACACGCCACGCCGCGACCGGAGGAACTGTGACGGACACGGCGATACGCCCGCGACGGACCGCGGACGGACGAGAGATCATGGACGGACGACAGGGGAGCGACAGACCACAGCAGACGCTAGCTGACGGACCGCAGACAGACGAGAGGTCATGGACGGACGACAGGACAGCGACAGACCACAGCAGACGCCAACCGACATACTATGAACAGAGGGTGCACAGACAACCTTCAGACGGACGCTAGGATACATACCGTGGACAGACGAGAGATCACGGGCAGGACGAAAGATGGCATGGGTGTCGATTTCCACAGAGTTGGGGGTGCCGGGCGCAGCAAATCCGCCGCCGCCCCAGCCGGGTGACCTTGACCCGCGCCGTCTGTTGGGGCTCCAAAGCCAAGCCGGCCGAGCCGGCGGGGAATTTGGAGAGCTCGGGCACCCCCAAACCGGCGGAAATCAACACCCATGAAAGATGGGACACCGATAGATGCTAGCCGACAGACAACGAGACGAGAGATCGTGGGCAGACGACAGACGGACACAGACAGACCACAGCAGGCGCTAACCGACCCACTACGTAAAGGCAAGAGATCATGGACAGACGACAAACGGGCCGACAGACCACACAGACGTCTGCTGTGCACAGACAGACGTTATACTCTGAGCAGACAAGACAGACGGCAGACGAGATATTATGGACAGGTGATAGATAGGGCACCAATAACAGACCTTTGAAGACACGGAGCAGCGCGTGCGGCCAGCGCTCAGTGGCGGTGCCAACAGGAGCCCGGTTGGCATCACGTCGAACACAGGTCGAACACAGTTATACGGCTGGTATACACAGCTCGCTAGTCCCGATACAGCACTCACCGTGGAAATAAAAAAGACATCACAACTCACAACGTTGTAAATCATGTGCGCCATATTACCGCAGAGAACAGGTGCCAAATCCAAGGAATTGATCCAAAGAACTCACCAAATTTACGGCTATAGCAATAGGAAGCGGTATAGTATAATAAAAGCTCACTCCGGTTGACAGTGCCACCTACCTACTAACCACCCTAGCCACTCCGACTCTGCCATGAGTGGAGTCGCACCAGCTTACCTAGCGCCTTGAAGAAGTCAGCGTAGCGACACTCGTAGAGCGAGAAGACGAACTCTCTGACGGCCGGTTCGCCGTGCAGGATCTCCAGGATCTCCGAGCCCTTTACCACCTGCGGCGACACGGGGTACAAGCGTCAGCGAGCGGCCTACACGCAACACGAGCCGTGCATAAAATATAGCTTCACCACAAGTCGAGCAGTCAGAGATATCGGTCTCAATTTCTAGTACAGATTCCATGGCCGGTTAGGCCTAGGATCCACTTAAGTTGCATGCAAGACAAAGGTGATTATCAAACTTGTAGCATTTTACAGTACACCACAACCAAAATCACATCCGATCTTATAGACTACGTAGGTACCTATATCGGGAAACACCAATTCCTTGATCTTTCTGTTCATCTACCCATGCCCCAAAACTCCAAACACTGATATCATCATAAAAAACAGGGTCATGATAGCATCACATGTCAAAAGCTGTCACCCTGGGTGGATTACTAAATCGTTCGTACAACAAAATGACACCGCGGCAGATATTTTCGCCACCGATCCGTCCCCAGCCCTAATCCTGGTGGTGCCACCTGACATGCAGCTCCCAGTCCAGAGCTGCCATCTGGAGCAGCTATTCCGTACTTTGCCGCCACGCACCCTATTGCTGAGCTCCCCAGCAGACCCCAGGTCCACTGTCCAGTGTCGCCACCTACCACATGCCTCGGATCTCCAGTCCCGTGCCGCCACCTACCACTATTCCTGAGCTCCCATGCCCAGTGCCGCCACCAACCATATTCTTCAGCTCCTCAGCCCAAAGCTTCCACACACCTTCTTCCAAAGCTCTAACTCCCCAGTCTAGAGCCGCCATCTACCTTATTTCCGAGCTCCCAGGTGCAGTTATACCACCACCCACCTTCTTCCTGAGCTCCTGTCGCGGCAGGGCGATGACGCTGCTGTAGACGGTGTACTTGACGAAGGTGACGTAGTCCATCAGCTCGTACGAGGTGAAGGTGGAGATGGTGTCCAGGAAGAGCTGGGCGGCCGCCTTGAAGTCGCGCACGGCCATCTGGTAGACGGCCTGGTAGACCTTGAGCCGGTTCCGTCTGTCCCAGTCGCCGCCCTCCTCGATCAGACTGCCGACACGGATGGCGGGTCAGAGCGCACAGCCGGCGGTGTAGGAGGCCAAAGTACGATGGATGAATGATACACTTGACTATACATTGCCAGGAAGTAGCCAACTGTACCGCAATCTGAGGCGCCCGACAAATACAGGTACAAAATACGGCAAGCTTATTGCATTATGTACTCGTCAAGCGTCAATCGGCAAATGTAAAAAAAGGTTTTAGCCGACGTAACTGGCAAATGAATAGATTTCAACTCGAGATCGATGTAGATCTCATACCTTTTTGCCTTCTCGATGTTCCTTGTGATGAGGTCGTTGTCCATGTAGAACAGGCCGATCCTGATAAGGTGGAAGACGATGTCGAGTCGCTGTCCCAGCGATACCGTCTTGTCGTACGTCTTTCGGAAGGCTGACACAGCACCGTCCTGTAAAAGATGAATCCATTTCCTTTATCGTTTTATTGGATAGAGAGAAAAAAAAAAAACAATATTCACCATTGAACAGGTAAGCCCGCTCAGGCAGGCACATATCAAGCAGATTTTCAGTTGCTCTCACACCTCAACAATTCATCAAACGAGAGTCAACGTCTAAACAGAAGACAAATGAGAGCAGCATTTTTCTAATCACAGCATAGCTAATTAGAAATCCACTCAACCCTCGTTGTATTTTTGTGATCACAGCACAACTCATGCAAAACCGATTCACTCCACTAATTCCAGCGTCCTCCGCCGCCTGACCCGGACATCTCACCTTGTCACCGATACGGCAGAGGTGTTCCGACTTGGCCAGGTTCGCTTCTCGAACCTCCATCTCGCTGAGGTTCTGCTCGGCATCGTCAATCTTGGCGTCCAGCTCCTTGAGCCGGGCGGCGTTGTGCTCCTGCATGGACTGCAGCAGCGCCACGTCCGGACTCCAGCCCAGCTGTTTGCACGCGTACTCGTACAGCGGGGCCATGTCTGAGGGAGAGGGCGGGGTGGATGGGTGGGTGAGGAGACGGTAATGGGGTACCTGCTGGTGGGGAGAATCTGCTATTGATAACACGAGTGACAGGGATTTGTTTAGTCTTCAGTGTGACCTGAATTGGCTACATTATAGGTCCCAGACTTGGCACGTCACTCTAAATCTGATCAATACTCTCGATTACGAGTGTCACTGAAATCAAAACCACTTCCGGTCTGCTTTAGCCATAGACCTCTGTATACCAACGTCTTTACAGAGGTCCATTGGCAGAGCCATGCTCTGCCAATGCTCTCATGTCACTAGCATGAGGAATCCGAGTGTCATGTCATCATCGACGGCAAACTTAAACTTTTCCGATCACATTGACAGATTCACATTAACAGATTGACTCTGTTGTGAAGCGTGTTACCCAGGTGTTAGGTCTCCTCATATGGAGTCTGCACTTCTGCAGGGTGACGAGGCAGCTTTTGTAAGAATGGAGTCAGTATTATCATTACGCTTATGTCCAATGAGTCCTAGAATGCAGAAGTGTGATTTGGGCTGGGGCAGCACGCTCGCATCTGGAAAGAGTGGAACACTTTCAGCATGAGTTTTGGCATTTTTAGTGGGCACTTAATGCAATCATTTTAACATAACCAATTACGAGGGCCTGCAGACTGCAGTGCACAGTTAATAAAATCATTTCACTTGAGAAGCATCATACTGCCTTAGATCTCTCATTTCTGTTTGCCATTTTATCAGGAAAGAGAGAAAGCTCGCTTTCTCTTAATTCAGTTTTCATTATGCTCCCCGGTCCATGGGGCTTGTAGCACTGAGGCCTTCTTTGTGCCGACCAGCAGGGTAATGGCATCAATGTCTGTGCTCTTTTCTCGACTGACATGTGCTTTAACACATTAATCTTATCCTCACTAATCTCTCTTTTGACATTTTAAATCATTCAAAGTCTGCTATGCTCAGGCTGTATTAATTTGACATTATGTTTTATGCCTTTGTAAATTGTAATGCTAACTGAAATTTTCAATGGGTTGGGCCACTTTCCAAGCTTCCGAGGATGAGGACGCTCTTTCCTTTTACGTTATTTTTCTTTATCTTAGAGTCTTAAGATCTTACAGGATGTTAAAGGCTTGTATAGCCTGTATCTGCACTCTAGGATGAATAGAATAGGCAGGTAGGTAAGCACTTACAATCTTCTCGTATGGCATCCATTAGTTGTTTCTTCAAAGTGGTATCATTCTTCATTGACGGCAAGGTCAAATTGAAAATCCATTGGGCTATTTCCAACTTTGGGTTCTTCTCAAGACCCTGCTCTTCCATATTTTCAATAGGCATTTTGATTTGAAACTTTAAACGCTAATATCAACGTGAACTAACAGACACTCCAACACTCTTTCACAGAAGTGTCGTAATTCTATGCAATCGAAAGAAAGCACCTATTCAGCTTTGCAGTAATATTTCACTTCTTATCCAGCCGATCCAGCCCACTGTTAATTCTTATTGCCTAAAATGCTTTAATAAATAGCACTCAGCACGGCATAACGCCATATACTGCCTTCACAACAAATAATACTAGCACAAATACTGACGCGCCTGGTGCGCCAGGATTGAAATGCTTGTCATTTGTTTACAACTTTAGTAAAGTTCGTGAGAAGTTTTATTGTTTTAATTTATTTACTTTCTGTCACGTAGCGAAATCACTTTTTTTCGGTACAAATAAAATTATTAATAATAAATCCAATAACTGAAATGAAAAGGTATTGGTTTTATTGGTATTTTATTTGATGCAGATCAGCTGATCGGTCGGTTTGAAAGAGCGGCGTGTTTGAAAACGAGCAAGGAAAACGAGAAGACGCGTTGACGACGACGCGCGGAGTGAAAACGCTTTTGGGGTTATTCTTCTTATATTCGTTGTAAAGCCTTCATTCAACCGTTATTTGCCTTTGTATATACGTGCCCTGGTATATACAAGACATAACTCTTGGTTGATATTGCAGTCGGAGAAAGCATTGACCAACTTCTTCGGTGAGTAAGGTTAGACTTCAGAGGAATTTCTTCCAGTGGTCAACAAACTTGGTAACATTTAACGCCATTTTTTGAATGAGTGCAAATTAGGACCGAAACCTTAATCATTCTTTATCAATTCATCATTTGGGTTAAAGGAAACAGTCCACTTTCCTGAAATCAGTATTTTGCTATTGATTTATGATTTTTTATGCTCAAAATAATCATGAAATAAAATAAAACCTTTTTGTAAAAACAATTATTTTCTTTATTTTAATATAGGGCGAACTATATTCTATGTAAAATAATGTTTGACGCGGAAGCTTATTACGCATTGACCAATCATATTGCGTAGCTCAAACCTACGAATACTGCATTGGCTGTAAGCAGCACGCTGATTGGCTGACGATGACGTGGCTGCATTCCTGTGCAAGGCACGCATTCCTCTACAAGGCACTCTTTTCGGAACGAGAAATGGAATTTCTTCGTCTAGGGTGATCGTTGAGCCGTAAAAGCTCCTGATTTGTGCTAGTCTCAGCTCAAGCTACGAAACTGCTATTCCAGCTCAAAACCCCATGTTAAAAGTGAACTATTTCCTTTAAGTGTTAACCCTTACGTAGATCCATGTGTGCTGAATTTGAATTCCAGTTCAAGATCATCCTAATAAATAAGTAGGTACCTACCCACATTTCAATCTCAAATATCCTTCGCCCCAGTGGGGGGGGGGGGCATATGTTACCACCCTGTCGCGTTTTTCGCGTGTGAATAAAAAACCGCGGCGCGTAGCGCCGCGCCGCTTGGGGTAGCTTTTGGTACATCAATTTTGGACAATGTGTGAAATTTTTGACCCCAGGTCATGACGGGTCAGGTCACCAGGTCAAGTTAACTGACCAAGCCTAAAAAAAAGTTTGCAATCATGTCCAGCCTGCAGTGTTTGTCAGAAAGGTTTTAAACTTCGTGGATTGCATGCTGTTATGGGCGCCTACAATTTGTATATCTCGGATTTTTTATATCCGTGACCTAAGGTCAGGTCAGTGGCGTGACCTTTCCATTGCAAGTCAATGGAGAAAAATGAAAATGCCTCTAGATCCGTGTGTACGCATAGGAACAGTCCAAATATTTCAGAATCACAATGATTTAGTCCACTCGTGATGACCAAGGTTTCATTTTTGAGGATAGCCTCTAGAAAGGTCATCCGAGGTCATTTGAGGCTACAAACAGTTTTTTGCCAATAACTCGCGATTGGAAAGAGATAAACGCTGGGGATGGTCTCATTGTGTTTGTCTCGTTGAGACGCATCGACTGATATGCAACATGACCTTTTCCGGTCAGGTCATGACCTTGACCTTAGGTCAAATTTTCAAGTTGACCTTTCAAGGTCAAATTATAGTTCATTCGACGCGTCTCGGCAAGGGGAACACGATTCTGGCAATAGAAATGTCGTGGCTTTTTGTAGTCGAAAGTCATTGTCGAAAAACACTTCATAAAAACAGCTATTTTTGGAGTTTTTGCCCTCTGGAGGCTAAACCGTTGACCTGAGGTCAATATTGATAATGACCTTTTCAAAAGAAGAGTTCAAAAGCTATCGATTGCTTTTCCATGCGTTTTTCTAGCTACCATAGTTGCTGAGATAGCGGCATGTTTTCTGAAAAATATAATGACAATTGGCAAATTTTGACCTTTGATGACCTCTGGTGACCCCAATATTGCTCTAAGGTGAAAAATGACCGAAATACTTTCAAACGTACGCATTGAGAGCTATCGACTGCTTTTTACCGCGTCTTTCTAGCCCTCTTAGTTTTTGAGTTAGTGGTGGGTGGTAACATATGCCCCCCCCCCCCCCCACTAGGGCGAAGTTGGCTGAGACCGCCACTGGGGCGGGGGATATTGTTGATTGTTGAGACCAAATTGTGTAGTCTGGGTTGGGTTGCGATTGTTGGAAACACTCTTGAAAGCTAGAAGAAGCATTTTTGAAAGCTCAAGCTGGCTTTGACTTTTGAGAATGCATATTTAATAAAGGACTTGAAATTTCAATCAGGCTTACTTAATACCTACTTATCAATACTGCAGGTGAACTAGATTGCCATCACCATTCACCATACCATCATTTTGGTAATGATATGTTACTGCCTACTCCAACCTCTCCTCTATCTCTCCCTCCTGTCGACAGATGGCTCCAGTGAAGCGACCCCGGGTGGAGTCGGAGACGTCGGCCGGCGCCGGAGGAGCTGCCCCTCCGGCCAGCAAGCGGCCCCGCGCCGTGTCAGCACGGATAGACACCGGCCTGAGGGCGGGGCCGGAGGCGGGGGCGGCGGCCCAGCAGCCGCCCAGACAGCGAGCCCCGCTCAAACGGCCGCCCATGGCCCCCCGTCAGTCGGGCCAGGACCGACCGACGAGCGTCCCTCGGGCCGCCTCAGTGCCGAAGGTTTGTGGGACAGATGCACGAATACCGAGTATCAGCTATGGGAAGATTACAAATTTATTTTCAGGACAAGTTTTAAACTTCAAACAAATGTTCAGATAATGTAATGAATTCTAAAGGGATGATGAAATCAGGGAATTTCTACGCATAACCTTTTCACTTAAGCGGAAACAGAACAATGTTTAGCTTAAAATTTATGCTTAACGTTTCGATAATGCCACTGCAACAAGCCTCCATAAATAAGTGTCAGTGTCATCCCTCAGTGCGCGTGTCGCTCTCCCCAGATGGCCACGCTGAACCGGCCTGCCACTGTCAGCAGCGAGCAGCTGGAGGCCTGGCGCGCGGCGCGCCGCCAGAAGCTGGCCGAGCGGATCCTGCGCGGTCGCCAGGGCTCGGCCGACGCCGCCGCAGCCGCCGCCTGCCTGGGCCTGGGCGCCGAGCGACAGCGCGGCTCGGCACCGTCCCGGCCCCGCGCGGTGGCCTCCCGCGTGCTGCAGCCGCGGCCGACTGCCGCCGCTCCCAGCTCGGACGGCGGTGCGCGCAAACGACCTATCGGCGCTGCAACCGCCTCGACGTCGGCTCAGCGGCCGTCCGGCGCCGCTGCGGCCCGGCCGCCGGTCCCCGGGGGCCCGCCGCCGACGGTGGGTGGTATCCGGCTGAACAAGGCCGCCCAGCGGCGCCTGACGCTGATCCAGGCTCGCCGGCAGCAGGCGGAGCGCGATGCCGAGCGGCGCACCACGCTGGCGGCCCCGCCAGCTGCCCGGCCGGCCGCCCGTCGCCCGCCGCCGGTGCCGGCCGGGCCGCGGCGCCAGACGTTCGCCGGCGCCCGCCCCGCGCCGCCCGCCGCCGCCCGTCGGCCGGCGGTCCCCAGGCGCTCCCCGCCGGCTCCGACGCGCCGCTCGCCGCGCACCGTGCCCGGGTCGGCGCCGCGTGTCACCGCCGTCAAAGCAGGCCTCAGCAAGCAGCGCCTGGCCGCGCTGGCCAAACCCAAGCAGCCGGCGCAGCGGAAGACGTCACCGCCGCGCGCGGCCCGCATTGTGAAGCCGGTCCAGCGCCGCGCGACTGTGGCGCCGTCTGTGGGCGGGTCGCTGGCGCCGCCGGCCGGCCTGCCCAACACGATGCGCCGCTCGCTGAGCGCCATGCACCGGTCGCGGTCGACCTCGGACCGCTCTGTGGCGGTGCACCGGCCGGCCGCCTCTGTGGCCGCCGTACCGAGGGAGGATAACCTGGATACCGCCGGCGCCACTGGTGGAGGTATGTGCCGGGCGAAGCTTCTTTAAAGGGACTATCCCACCTTTACATTAGGTTTGAGTTGAGATAGCCAAGTTTGCGGCGAGGTCCAGAAACCACTATCTATCTTGGTTGCAACCCCCGCGGCCTCGTGGTGTTGAAGAAATTCGTTCCCTTCATTTGAAAATGAGCCCTGCGCAAGGCCCAATCTCTTAACCATTAACGGTAATCTGATGACGTCATTTGCCTTTTGAACGCCTGTTCAAGTGAAGCATCACTTGATTTACGAATAAGCCAATCAGAGACACTTTTGTTATTGTATGAGCCGAGTCATATTTGAGAGCAAATACCTATATTTGCTGCCAAATTTCCCCCACACTGACATGAAGTAAATCCTTCATTACGTCACAGATCCGATCTAAATGACGTCACGATGAAATATAAAAGTCGCAATATCTCAAAAAGTATACGATGAAAACGCGTAAAAACTTGCAGAATTCGTCACAATATCATGAGTAACATTTCCGAATCCTAAACGGGACTTTTTTGAAGGTGGGATAGTCCCTTTAAGGTCCTGCAATTACTTAGATGTCCCTTGTGCTCGAGTTTTCCCAGTCTTCTCAGCCGTATTTTTATGCTGTTGATTTGCGATTACTTATAGTGCCATTGCTTGGTAATTTCTGGGAGAAATTCAGTGCTGGAACATTTTTGGGAGCATAAACACTACGCTTATGTTTTGTCCCACTCCGTTTCAGCTCCTCCCGCCAAGGCGCCTACTGAGGTGCCTCGAACGGCGCCGCAGCAGCAGTCGGCGACGCCAGGCCGCCCCCGTCCGTCCGCCACTCCGGCGAGGGGCCGTCCGTCCGCCACCCCGGCCCGCGGCCGTCCGTCTGCCACTCCAGCCCGAGGCTTCCCATCTGCGAGCCGGCCCCGTCTGCCGACTGAACAGACTCTCCAGGAGCGCCTGGAGCAGTGGCTGGCGCGCCGCGGCAAGCAGCTCAGCTCGTTCATGTAAGAGTGGGTCTGGTCTGGGGGGAGTGAACGCTGCCGGGCTGGGAATAGCCAGAATGATTATACGTTAGGTAGATTACATCGAATTGGTTGAAGTTGATAATTTAATGTCTTTTCACATTCTTTATTTTCAGGACGTGAAAGCGTTCGTGAAAGTGACGTGAAAGGAATCACGCTATATTGCTTATGGCTGAAGAGAGGTGTGACCTTCAGTGACCCCGATGCGATTTGACCTCATCCTCTTCCCGCAGGCACCTGCACTGTTTCGGCAGCGAGCTGACGCAGCCGACGCCGTCGCGCGCCCAAGCGGCCAAGGCCCGCTGCTCGGCGGCTCCCCGAGTCCAGCTGGACCCCGGCTCTCCTCCGCTCAGGGTTAGTGATGGACCCGATCGAGGGCACCTGAAGATTGCATGTTTCTTCGATAAGTGTTAATCTTTGCACAAATTTATCGATAGTAGTTAATTGTGATTTAGCTTTAAGTTCAGCACACGGGCTCACTGACATGACCCGTGTATACATATACCTAGTCCACCACCTGGACTATATGCTCATTTTCACTTTATATTCAATGCATGATTTTTGTTGTTGTCGTTTAAGTCAGTAGATGACTGAAAACTAGTGTCCTTTGCTTGCTTTCACTCTATAAAGATATGTCGTTTCCCAATGGCTTTGATTGACGAAAAGGTCCGTTTTTCCAGGCCACCCCTACAGTGAAAGTCTCGCCAACCACGCCTGTGACGACTGCTAAGGCGACACCGGCGGCTGCGAGGAAGGGGGCGCCACAGACGCCCGATGCCGCATCCGGTGGCGAGGAACGTATGGACAACGTGCTCTCCGACTTGCGGGAGCTGCAGGTTCGTAATAGTTTGTAACGATCAGTGGAAATTTGGCGGAGTTCGTCTGGCGTCTTTATACGGTCATTTTATCTGGATTATGCGTTAAGGATGCTTTTTGGTTTATATAGACGATGCGTTTAGCTTCTTTTCATGCCTTAACCCTATTAGTGGCAGGCTCCTGGCTACCCCATATTAGTGGCAGGGGGGGGCTGTTTACGACCCCCCCTTGATATCTCGAGATCTAACCGGCCGATTTTCAAAATTCAAACGGCATTCGATTTGGCTCAACGAGATCTACATTTCTAAAAAAAACAAAATCAAAAATGTCAATAGGGGGGTAGAGGGGGGTAAAAACGGGCAAATTGCAGATACATTTTAGACTGTTTATCACGGCCAGGTTTCTGAACCAATCTTAACGCAACTTTTGCCGATCGATAGAGAATGAACCAGGAATTCACATGGATCCTAAAAATATGCATTTTCAAAAATCATAGGCGGATACAGATCATTGAGATTGGGGGTACACAAAAAGTATAGTAAATAAGGTTTTTGTTGGTACTGTTTCTAAAAAGGGTGGCAATGGTCTTGTTATGTTACAATTTTCTTATGAGAGAACGACTAAAATTGTATTGGTCATGCATAGGCGGTGTCAGGGCACCTATGTTGGGAGGTAAAAAATAACCCCCCTTTTTGGACGCCTGGATCCGCTTATTATAGCAAAAACGTGTCAAAAGAGGATGCACAATAACTTTGTATATGTTATCACATGATACCTTTCATTCACTGTTCGTAAAACTGGTGCAGCATCGTGATCTTCGCCCAAATGACTCGCTTCACGAATAGGACCCCCAATTCCCAGTGCTCTGGAGCCGCCCCTGGTAAAGTTATGAACTTGAAATTTTCAGGGAATGTGCCCAATTTAGTTTTAGGAAAAGTCAGAAAATTTCAGCATCGTAGCTTCAGCGGTTTCGGAGATATTCCCGAAAAACCTGAGGGGTGGATAAAAACAACCCCCCCCTGCCACTAATAGGGTTAACTGGTTTATTTTCTCGCCCTGTGTCTGATAAGTGATGGGAAAGAAGTCTTAGTTCAGTTGCCTTCGCAACCCCGTCTACCCGAAATCACCATGTCCTCCACAGGAGCTGGGTCTGCCCTCGGACCAGGTGGTCAGCTGGCTGGAGCGTCTGTAACTCCCCCTCCCCTCCACAGGAGCTGGGTCTGCCCTCGGACCAGGTGGTCAGCTGGCTGGAGCGTCTGTAACTCCCCCCTCCCCTCCACAGGAGCTGGGTCTGCCCTCGGACCAGGTGGTCAGCTGGCTGGAGCGTCTGTAACTCCCCCTCCCCTCCACAGGAGCTGGGTATGCCCTCGGACCAGGTGGTCAGCTGGCTGGAGCGTCTGTAACTCCCCCTCCCCTCCACAGGAGCTGGGTATGCCCTCGGACCAGGTGGTCAGCTGGCTGGAGCGCCTGTAACTCCCCCCTCCCCTCCACAGGAGCTGGGCCTGCCCTCGGACCAGGTGGTCAGCTGGCTGGAGCGCCTGTAACTCCCTCCCCCCTCCACAGGAGCTGGGCCTGCCCTCGGACCAGGTGGTCAGCTGGCTGGAGCGCCTGTAACTCCCCCTCCCCTCCACAGGAGCTGGGTCTGCCCTCGGACCAGGTGGTCAGCTGGCTGGAGCGGCTCTCACGGGACCCGGTGTCGGCCGGCCGCGCCCGCTACTGGCTGTGCCGCGCCTCGGCTGCCGAGCGGGACGGTCAGCTCGACACGGTGCTGCACTGCTTCCGACAGGCGTCACACGCCCAGGCTGAGGTGAGCGAATCCGCCCCGGGGCGAACAATGCACGGTGCAGTACACACGGCTCGTCGGAAGGTTGTTTGATCAAAGGAATAAATATGTATTATTCGAGAGCTGATAGTGAGCTGATTTCAATAGTGTAATTTTTATCGAAGTCGTTTGATGAATTTTAGAAGAAAAAATATTTTTAAAAATAAAAAACGCAATATCTTTTCATATTTTTCTTTTATTTTATTTCACAGAATGTCCCAGACATTCTTAAAATCATAGTCACCTACCCTTCGTCGATCTTCCCTTTGTCATTCTGCCATGACGCTGGCAAAAACTAAGCATTCTTATGTAACCGTTATTTTATGTTGGTCTGGATCAGCAAAGCTGGCCGCTGAAGTGGCATACAAGCCTCTGCTTCGACTATGCAATTAATGTTACGTGATGGGCCACCTGTTTTTGTATTTTTTATGCTGCCCGTCAGTATGATGTAGGGAACTGTCCACTTTGACATCCACCGAGCAAGGATTTGCGGCGGCATTACGTCCTTTTCGCTGACGTGAAGCTGTCAGTTACAAGGTCCGTCTGTACTGCGGACTGAGCTGTTATAACCGACAATGCCGCCCCCTGCAAACTGATCCCAGCGTGCCCAATTATGTTTGAGATCCAACTTAATGCTGTGGCCCTGAGGATGCCCTAATAAAGCAGCTGCGAAAATAGCACGCAATGAATCTGATATAATTAGCAGGAGTTAATTAGTGCCGACACTGGACGTTCACGGCATATACAATGAATCCTGGTTGAACGGATTATGACGAAAATATCTGACGGCTTCCTCTTTAAATCAGGCCTCATTATATGTAGCGCAGCAGCTACTAATTTCGGGCGCATATCACTAATAAGCCGGTCGTCAGATGGATACATTAGTCATGATCCTTAGTTTGAATGGTACATCAAAAACGTTGCGTTTTGCTAGAAATATGCTTATACCGTTCGATCAGCATACATTGCCAATTTTTGTCATTTTTTTTTTTTTTTGAGTCGTCATATGTGGAACGAAGCACCTGTGATTTACAACGACAGTGTAAAATTAAATTCACTTGTAACGTGTTTTCAGCGTAGGTAATTGCTTTGTCGGTGATGTTAATGGTATCGTCTGCGTATCTTAACGAGATTCCGAATAAATGATGTATCATTCTGCCGTTATGTTATTACCACTCTTCCACTTTTCTTCTTCGTTTCTATCCTCTTGCTTTCTTACTCTTACCTACTTTCTTGTACTTCTGCTTACTTTTTCTTCTACCTCTGCTGTCCGTGCCCACTACTGACACCCTCATCCTGCCTTCTTCCCTCCCCAGCCGGTGGCGGAGCTGATCTCCGGACTGGAGAACTTCGTGAAGCGCGCCGCCAGTGCTCCGGCCGCCCCGGGCACGCCTCAGGAGGCCTCTGAGGACGCCGAGAACGCCCCTCCGCCGGCGGACGCGGACGGCACGCCGGGACCAGGGCGCCGGCGTCGCGCCGAGACCCGCACCCCGCGCCGCCCGCTGCTCGACAGAAGCAATGTGTTCGACTCGAGCGTGATCAAGTACGCGCTCGTGGACGATGAGACGGTGCTGAAGAAGTTAGTACGAGTTGGGAATGGAAGGGGAATGGTGATGGTGGATAGGGGGATTTGATTGGTGAGGGATGATGGTATTCTTCCCCATGAAAGTTGTGAAGTCCTTTTTACCCCAAAGCAATAGGCGAATTCTGAAGCTACAGCCGCCACAGCGAAATATGCAATAGTGATTTTTAAGTTACTGTCTATCCTTATCTATCATCTTGTAAATGCGTGGCTGCAAGATTCGTATTTCAAAATGATCTCTCGTGATTATTGTATTTTTCGTTGTTTTGAACCCATTATCTGTTCCAATGCATCCCGGCACAATAAATGTGCACTGCTGACATCGCTGCTGCCGTTTCAGACTGGCGGCGCTGCGTCTGGGCGCTGCCGGGGAGGCTCCGAGCGGTATCCTCTCGGTTATCACGCCGGTGCGCCGCTCCACGCGCCAGAGGTCGGCCAAGCTGCTGGCCAACCCGCACATGGCGCTCTTTGACTCTGTGGAGGCTATCTCGGAGTCGCTGCGCCGCTCAGCACTGTTCCGTAAGAACAGCGCCCTAATGAGCCCCTGAACAGGGTGAGAGAAAGGCGGCGGGGATGAGCTGCAGCTGGCGAGGGGTCAGGAAGCGCACAGATGGTGAGTGTTGGGAAGGAGCTTGTCAAGGGAGGAACTCGGTGTGAGCTATCGTGGACCAAATGAGTTAGACTGGTCCGACGAATGTCCGATGTTGTGTCGAACGTCTCGAACGTACCGCGGTATGGTAATCGGCTCAGCTAGATAGTCGCTCCTCCAGCCGCCCCGTTTCTCGTTTAGCAGTCCAGCGTGCTAATCGCTGGCAGCAGCAAAAAGATCAGCACGCAAACTATTAGTTTTAATCATTATCAACTATCAAGGGAATATGTATTTGCTCCTGCTTTTAGGCGTTCACCCAATAAATGCTGTGTAACGACCGCGACCGACGAAAAACCACGAAGAAGTGGTTTTTAGTCACGATTTAGTAAAGTAGATGCGTCGACTACGAACCGTTTAGGGGTCTTATAACCGCTTAACATCGTCGTAAAAAAGGACGTTTTCGGGAAGTGTTGATGTGCCTCGACCATGCATGCAGCGCTACAGTTTCGCACCTTTTAGCCCCTGTAATCGTTAACGTTTACTCCTTCCGCGTCTATCGGCCTTGAGTGCCTCCGCGTTTGTTGCACACCAAGCAGCTGCTGTATCGCCAATAAACATCTGCCTCCTGCAATTATGTATTGTATCACCACGCTGAGCAAACTACAACCAACACGATCGCGAGTGACTACCACTGACAATTTACCCGGACTATTCAGGACTTCATATTTCGTAGCATATTCATGAGCGAGGGCGTGTCCTCGCTGACGTCTTTGGGCGGCTCCTCCGCCTCCTGTCCCTCCGGTATGGCCGCTGCCACGCTGGCGGCCCGTCGCGGCGGCTCCGTCCACTCGGGGCTCCTCCTCAGAGGCAGGTCTGGAGACACCCGTCCTCGTCCGAACAGACCGTGCTTGGTGAACGGACTCATCATGCCCAGCACGTTGGGCCCGAACTGGCGGCTCAGCTGCTCGTCCTTCCAGGGCAGCCGGCTGACGCCCTCCCTCTCGATCCGCTCCTGTGCCGGTATGGGCAGGCCGCGCGCGCGCAGGTCGGGGCTCTGTCGGCCCAGGAAGTTGGCGTACTCGGTCTGTATGCTGTCGATGCTGGGCAGTCGCGGCGGCGGCTCCGGCGAGGGAGTGGGCGACGGTGACGGCGGCGGTGGCGACGACGGCGCTGATGTCGGTGGCGACACGGACTCCGGTGGCGGCTCCGACTCCGGCGGCGGCTCCGACTCCGGTGACGGAGGGGTCGGGGTCGGGGACGGGGTGGGCGGCTTGGGCGGACCGCGCGACCACGCGTGCAGGCGCACAAACAGGTCGGCCTCGTCCGGGCCCGGCTCCAGCTCCAGTCCTCTGATCCGCTCCACGGCGCCGCGAGCCGCCTCTGCGCGCCGCTTCTCCCCGGGCAGCGTCAGGTCTTCCTCGGGCTCCTCGGTGGTCTCCCCGTCTTTGGCAGCTGCCTGCGGAGCCTCGCTGTCGGCAAGGACCGCCGGGACGCTCTCACCCCCTCCCGTCAGCGTCGGCGTGCTCTCGACAGCGCCAGTCTTAGACGCGGCCTCCGTCGGCTTGCTCCTCGGCTCTGACGCAGTGATTAGTATCGACTCGTCGGAGCCACCTCCGCCGCCGCCACCGCCCTCGTCATTCTCGACGTCATCGGGACTGGTCTCCAGGCGCCACACGCCGCGCGGTCGCGTCGGTCGCTTCCACGCCACGGCCGTCTGCACCAAGAAGAACAAGATGATGACCCAGTAGTAGAACTCGTAGCCGACGGCGGCAAGCTTGATCCACAGCGGCACGTCGTCGCGGAAGAAGGTACCGCCCCGACCGAGAAAGGCCAGAGCCATCAGCCCCACGAGTCCCAGGGGGCAGATGATGTACCAGCTCAGCTGCCAGAAGAACGGCGGCGGCAGCAGGCGCACCCGCAGACGCTTCCTCACGTGGTGGATCAGGTTCCTCGGTCCGTACAAGAAGATGACGACTATTAGGAAGAGTAGGCTGAGCAGGAACTTCTTGGAGCCGAGCATGGAGTCCTCGATGGTGTCCAGGACGAAGATGGTGCCGGCGAGTGAGAAGAAGGCGCTGATGCCGAGGGCGAACAGCATCACCAGGCAGCACGCCACTGCCGTATGACACTTGAACTGGCACGTCGATGCCAGGTCGCTGATGACACAGGTCATGTGCACGGCCATTGAACCGGCTCCGAGTACAGCAATGGTGAAGAAGAACACCAGAGTCCAAATTTTCGCCATGCTCGAGCGTCCTAGGGCGGTGGGGAACAGCACCCGGGCCATGTCACTGCCGTGCAGTAGTTGTGCGTCGATGGTTAGTGCGCCGGATTTCGCCTGAGAACCCACCAGTCCGTAGAAGCTGAGTGTTGTCACAAGCACTATCACTATGCACAGGACGCCGACCACGAGGACGTCGAAATAAGATCGTCGGGCTGGACGGTTCCTCGCTGCCAGAGAAGGATAAGTGCCGCAGCCGACGCTCATGCAAGCAAACGCAAGGCCAGCAGCGTCTGCCCAGCATCGGCCGTTCGTCAGATCCGAGGTGTTCATCCGAAGTAGGTGGGAGATCCCGTCACCGGCGCCTTCTAGTGTTAGTGCGTAGAACATTAAGACGATATATCCCAGCATAGGAAGGATAACTGCGATTAAGGCGATATAGGGCTGAGGTGTTAAACCGCCCATTGCAGTTACCAAAATTATCAGCCACACAGCTCCCAATGCAGCAAGAATGGTGATATTTGGTTCGCCAATGCCCTTCAGAGTTTTCAGCGTCTGATTTCCATGGTTTCGTATTTCGGTCTCGTAATACTCTTCTTGCGCTGTTGGTCTGTCCAGCAGCGGCAAATAAACGGTTGTCTTGTTAGCGGATAAACTACAATGTGTCGCATTCGCCGCTCCTAGATGCATGGCCGAGCAGACTTGCTGACCTGGCACACAGGTATGACGGAGATATCCTGATTTCGCCTTGTCTTTTATGCATTTCTCTTCAAGCTGATCAGTTGCGCAGAGAGGGGTGTTGTATTTTGCGTCACATCTTTCCCACGGCATCGGCGACTTCAGCGCAAAGAAACAGTACATGAACAGTTGAGAGAGGTTGACACCGTACAATATAACTTCAAGAAAGTGATCTATTACGATGGCGAAGCCAACCCCTCTTGTGATGGGAATAACTTCTCCCATGGTCAACAATAAAGACTTTCCTCCATACTGACCCGTAAATGTTTCTAAACACGCTAGGGGAATACAAAGAAAAAAGATCGTACATATGAATGCAAGCAAGAAAGCGCCACCTGAATGTCTCAGAGCTAGGTGGGGTAAACGGAATAACGCTTTCAGCCAAAAACTTGCCGCAAGCGTCGCGATAGTAAAAAGGAAGCCCAAACGCCAGACATCTCTGTTGCTATCTTCAGTTTCAGGATCGAAGATGCTGGGATGACTTAGCTTGCTGGCTACCACCTGCACCGACTTTTCTTTTGATTCGTTTTTCTTTGTCGCTAATTCGTCCTCTTCTATGCTTGATGCTGCATTTTCAGGCTGTGCGTCGCCAGCAGCAGACGTCATCTTACAAAAACAATAAACTAAGCGAATTTTAGCTCAACCCTTATCCTGAAAATCGTTCATGTTTCGTAAGCGGAACACGAGGTCGGACTTGTTTGAAGGCCTTGGACCGAGGCAAAGCGCCATTGGAATATTTGACATTGCAAGGTGCGGTTAAATAATTCCCGACGCTCGAGCAAAATCGCTTGTAGATCTTCTGCAGTTAGCGCGAATTAACACATAATTAACACATAGGTAACACAACATAACATAACACACAATGTAACACCACACATTATGTTAAAGATTAAATTAAATTAAACACAAATGTCGTAACACATATGTTTTAGGCATCGTTTTTTTACAGCTAAATTGACATCCCGAAATGAAGAACGTTTTAGATCGTCTGGTATTTGTATGATCATTGATGAAAAAATAATTACCTATCGCACATTACACGATCACATTCCTACACCCATACCTACCTACTTTGAAAACGTTCATGCTTATTTATATGAATTACTTGGTCATTTGGGTACGTATAGTCGACTACAGAATGATGTTCCACTCCTCAGAAGCTATCAGTTGACCGGAGCGCTAAGTTGTGCCGTTTATCACGCAATTAAGCGTGTCGATTGTGAGCATTGGGACAAAGCTATAATTTGTGAACTCAGCCCGTGTGATGCGGCACAGCCTACCACTCAAGATTACTTTACTTATACCACTCCTCCATACCACTATCCTCTATACCACTTATACCACTACTTATACTTATATCCTCCTCCTGCTACCACTCCTCTGTGAAAAGTTGAACATCATTCTGTAGTCGACTATACAATGTACTAGTCAATTGGATACCAACTTTTTGGTATACCGATACCAAACCGATACCAACTTGGTATTTGGTATTTAAATCGTTATTTGTTTGGTATTTTGTTGGTATCATAAGCCCTCACTGATGTATAAGAGGCTAAGAAATCGGTAAAAAGTTGGTATTTCCCTCAGTTTCCCAAGTTGGTTTGGTTTCGGTATTTTCCCGTGGTTTTGGTTGGTATTTGGTTTGGTATCGGTATTCCGATTTTCTGTAATTGACATCACTACAATGTACATAACTGATGGGTGAGTGTGGTGGTTTCTATAGTAATAAATGGTATTTCCTAATATATTGTTACAGGGCAATAATATCGAATATATACTACATATATACAAAATGTGTCTGCACTGAAACGGAATAATTTTTCAGATGTAATGCACCTAAAAATACACATGGCCTCGAAAGCATGAAAAATTGTCTCACCCCAGCTCACCCATCGGTGCGCGGGTCGATCGCAGGAGTCCTGAATCTGGACAGTGGAATGAATCGGGCCTGGGACAGGTCGAACGAGGTCACTTATGCACTGCCAGTTTGAAGGGAAAGTTACTTATATGGTTCAGCGGCATTCGGCTATCGAATGGTCTGCTTTGGAGCGCAATGATTCCTACTCTTATGTTCAAGAAGTGGTTTGCGATATTTTTTCGGCCAAACCCGTAAATCACCTAAGGTCATCAGCTCATCACGTGATCTTAAGACGTAATATGGATGTTTGGAATTCTGCCCTTCAGATCGTGGCAAGTTGTGGCGAGTCGTTTAGCGCTCTAGTGATACCGGGTGGACAACAGCCTGCTGTGTCTTTATTCCTATGCTGCTGTGCAAATTTGGGGGCCATAACCTCTGTTGATCTGTCTGATGTAGGTGAACGGCTAGGAGTGCCGATAAATGATTTGAAACACGTATTCTCTACCCCATGACGACATGCTTTGAGGACGATATGCTGCACGCCAGTCCCAGGCGCTACCGACACGCCTGGAGTACGGTGGCTCCCTAACAAACCGTCAGTGACAGCGGTATCAAAACGGCTCGACACGAGTGACCTTATCACCGTTTGCTCGGTGGCAGTGGGCAGGTCGGCCACCATGGGCTACTCTCGATTTTATCATCCCCCAGACGTCTGGACGGCTGGAGGGACGGCTGGGTTCACCGTCAGGATATCAAACCAAGGAACAACTCCGGATGACGTGTACGAGATCATGTTGAGGCAAAAACAGATGTT